CCCGTTTCTGAGTTTCTCAAAATACACCAAATTCATAGTTTCCATAGAGAATCTGGAAAAGCATAGAAAGAAAACAGAGGCATGTTTTGATAGCTCATGCCAGGGAGAATAGCCACAGCCAGCAATTTACTGAAACATTCTCCAATAGTACTCTGTTTCCACAGTGCTTGGATCCAAGGAATCTTGTTAATATTTAGCAAGATAAGACACAGATATGTGTATGTGTATGTATACTCTATGTTTGTGTGTGTGTTTCAGAATGTTTCAGGGCTGTTTTTCGATCCTCTTGGACTTTATATTAGAGCAGGAGCCGGGTGTAATAGTGGATCCTGTAAGCCTAGCAGGAGGATGAAAATTTCAAGGCCAGCCTGGGCTACAGAATGGAAGGCAGACGGACTTGGCAGTTGCAGATGACACGGATATCAATAGATCTGTGCTTGTGTTTACTAAGCAAGTCAGTGGCAATAGCTACGTGCGCATCACCTATTCGCTCGAACACCCACAGCCTCCTGAGCAGGAAGCTTCTGTCTGTCCTTAATGTGTCAGAAGACAGCAAGATGGATGAATTTCAAGGGTGCGGTGAGACCTATTCTGTCGGGCAAACCCCAACGCAGGTGAAGTGAACCTTGAGAGGCCGCCTCAGGGGCACGGAGCCTGAGGGGAAGCTCCCGTGCACCTAAGGCAGATGGAGGTCCCTGGGGAGCAGGGTGCTCTGGGTAAAGAAACAAGCAACAAACAACAGTGTTGGTATCAGCCTCTAATTGAATGTCGTGAGCAGAGACGATCTTAATTGCTGGCATCAATTATCGCCTGAACTGCTTCCCACATGGTGCCTGCACGTGGAGTGCCCCTGGGAGGGCAGCAGTCTGGAAGCCTGAAGGGCTCCGACTCCTGTCAGCGATGCTGGGCCGGGAGCACGCACTGTCTTTATCTTTGTCACACATAGTCGCATAATAACACTGACTGTCTCCACCTTGAACATGCATCTGCCTGTCAGGTGCCGGGAGACGGAAGTGCAGATGGATCCGGGCCTGTGGCTGCATTAGCTCTGAGGAAGCTGGCACACAGTAGGTGCTCAGTAAACGCTGACTGGATGAAACGGTGTGCGATCGGGCAGGAGGAGAGTATGTGGTATGCCCTCGTACACATGGAAGCCACTTCTGACAGTGTTCCTTTCCCTGCCTCCCAGCTATAGAGCTGGGCATCAGGCGGGCTCCTGTGGGGTTTTCTGCCATGCATATGTCTAACTCCCTAAAGAGGCAGATAGCCCACCGGTGTTCCACTTCTGAGCTTCTTCACGTTCTACACTAACAACTAAGCTCATATGGGGCCTCAGAGCACAGCTGTGCTCTCAAAGGGCAGCCCAGCCAAGCCCCAGTGTGACCCAGATGTGATCGCCATGCAAGCTGGACATCTGTCCCTGGAAGGCACAAGGAGGCAGGGGGTCCCCAGCTTGAGCCAGCTGACCCCAACTGGCCCCTTTTTCCTGTGTGTCTTCTCTAGGTTCTGATGGGGTGGGGTGGGGGTGAAGGGCCTTGTTTTGTCCACCCTGGGCTGGCTGCTGGGCTCCGCAGAGTTGGGACTGATGTCTTGGTCTTCATGGTCTGCAGACTCCCCCAGGTTCCGAAGCTGAAGCCGGAGAGCTCAGCTGCACTGAATACCGATTGCTGGTCATGCAGCTCCTTCACTCTGGAGTGCTCCTTTGCTCTGGAGTGTTCCTTCACTCTGAAGTGCTCCTGTGCTCCAGGATGTTCCCTTGAGGCGTGTGCTCCCTCAGTCTGTGGCCCACAGGCAGCAGATAAAGGATGGGCAGTGAAGGTGGGGTGGCCGCAGACCCCTAAGTCCTTGTTGCACATCTTCCTCAGGGCACAGGCATCCATTGCTGAGGTCTTCCTGCCCCATCTAGTTAGCCCATTGACCTTAGACACAGCCTTCCACATTCCCAGCTCCTTATTCTGAGCTTGACCTTGGAATACCTCCCCAGTGACACAGGAACAAAGTGGCCCTTCCCCAGGTTCCTCTTCTGGGCATTTGATGTCAGCAGCACCACCCTTGGCTCAGCCTCCCCACTCCCCCTCCTTTGCTCTGAGATGATAGAAACACAGAGTTGCGTGACTTCCTGAAGGGCACGCAGCCTGTGAGCACCGTGGCTGAGAGTCAAATCTGTGAAGCTGACAGTTACTGCTGGGAGGTTACGGGTTTCCCTCGGTTCAAGTCCAGGTCTCCCGAACACCTGCTTGGTTCTGGTCCAGCCCACTCCGCAGAGCAGAACGCCCATCTCTGCACCCATCCCTGTCCATCTTCTCCACTCTCTGGAAGTTCCCCGAGGGCTGGAGCTGCACAGCTCTGCATGACCCTCAGCTGGGCGACAGTCATGGAAACAAAGCTGAGGAGGATCCCATGGCCCTGAGCCTGCAGGCAGGGCCTGAGAGGCCTCATCTCAGATGATCACCCCCCATCCGCTGCTTCACTGTGGCCAGAGGGTTGCTTTGCTCTAGTCTTCAGTACCCCAGGCAGGGCAGTCATGTGACCAGTGTTCACTGCTTCCCATGTAATTCCTCATGCCCACCTGACCCAAATGTTGAGGCATCAGTTAGGCCTGATGGCAGAAACCCGGAGTTGTCCGAAGAGGCAGCAGCTGCCACAGTCTCTGGAGGTGGAGGCCAACCCAGAACCATCAGGGCCTGATCCTGGGAAGAAGTGCATTTGCAGTTTCGGGGCTTTAGCTCCAGCCATTTTCCTAGTATCCTAGTATCCTAGTATCCCTTTCCTGGTATCCTTTGATTCACAAGACTACTGGCTGTGTCTGGGGCTGGGCTGTGGCTTGTCCCTCACTTGCCTGTCCTGAGGTGGGCATTCCATGGCTGGCAGCCTTACCTGAAATGTATGCTGACCCTGCCTATGCCAGCCCTGCCCACACATGCCAGCCCTGCCCACATTGCTCCTTCCTGTTTAGCTCTGTGAAGCCCTGGCCTGGCTTGGGCCTTATCTTCTGCAATACTCAATCCTGCAAGAAAGACTTAATGCCATCTTTAAGGTTCCAGCTCCCAGGAGTGAGATGTGAGGCTGGTCAGTGGAGGAATATGGAGCATGTTCCTGGAATGGCAAACAGCTATGGTCCTTGCTGGAGTCCTGACATGTGGCCTTCCCGCCCCATGGATGGGGTTCAGATCTGCCTCTAGTGATGACACTGTCCTTTGTTTCTTCAGAGAGACCTGGAAGGCTGTCTGCGGTCACTGGGCTGGTGGAGAGTCTGAGGGTTGCACGCAGATCTGACCCTTAATCTTCACCCTGCCCACACTCCCATCATGAGGCCTGTGTGAGTTTCCTTGAATAGCCGACCAAAAAGTAACTTCAGGTGATCAGAAAAGCTTTAAAAAAAATCTCTCCCAGGATTCTGCTCCACCTGTAACATACCTGAGACTCCTAGTCCCACCCAACAATCATGTGTGTTGCTGTGTACACAATATGTAGTATGTGTGAGTGTGTGTGTGCATGTGTGTGTGTGTATTGTGTGGTGCTGTATGTGTGAGAGTGTGTGTCTATAGGGGCGTGGTGTGGTGTGTGTGTGTGTGTGTGTGTGGTTGCTGTGCATTCCAGGTTACAGTCTTCTTGGTGGTTCCATCTGCTACACAGTGTTCAAGGATGCCGTCCACGTTGCCACAGCCCTTACTCCTGCTAACGACTGACTGTCTAATGACATCAAAGGGACGTGCTGTGATCTCTCTAACTATCCCCAATGCTGGGTACAGCTTCTGGCTTTCAGATTCTCATTTCATTGGCTGCACTGCCCTGAGCAAGCTGGTGTTCAGGGCCCTGCTTTGCCTTCTGAACTATCCCCTGAGGAGTTCATTTCCAGAAGAGAGATTCTACGTGTAGCCAGATGATTATCTGACTTGGGGTGTCTGGTGCTTTCTGAGATCTGACAGCACGCGGCCATGACCTGCTACATGCTGCGGTGTACCCTAAGGCAGGGCAGCCAACAGTCCTTCCAGACTTAACCTGAAGTCCCCGGGGCCGACTCACCTTCCGTCAGCAAGCCTTGGGGTGAAGGGATAAGCTGAAAAGTAGATGCTTCATGGACCCCAGAGATTTTCTAAAGAGTAGGGACAAAATTGAGCCAGTATGAGGGAGTACTGAGCTCCAGTGAACAAGTACCATGAAGGGAGTCAGGAACACTTAGCTGGAGTTCTAGCACCTGTGCTAAGTCGTTGCTGTAGAAGGTCTCAGTTGCTCGGCTCTGAAGTGGGATTGACATGATGGTGACTCAGCTGTCAGGCCCTCAAACAGGAAGGGAAGCTTTGATCAGCTGACGAGAGCTGACCACAGAAAAAGCCCCACAAATGTCTGTCGGGTCTGTCACTCTGCAGGGCCCCACTGGGGCACCCCACTTTGTTCTATTCTATTGCCGTGACCGAGGCGACGCTTATGAAAGAATGCATTTAACTGGGGACTTAACAGTTTCAGGGGATGGTCTGTGACTATCATGGTGGGGATTGTTGCATGGCCTGGAGCACCAAGAGCAGGACGGTGGGTGTCCAGGTAGAGGACCCCTGCTCTGCACTGCTCCAGAGTCTAAGCGCTAAGGGTCTATCCTTAGTGCTCAGCTTCCCTGGGAGGCTCTGGCTCGTCTTGATTTGCCCATTTACTGATCAGTTTAAGATGGCTCTGCACTCAGTGAGGTGGTAGTATAAATCCGAGCACAGCTCTGGGCTCATGAACAGCCAAGGAGCAACACCCTGTATGGTTGACCCAGCTTTGCATTCCTGGGACATGCCAGGAGGGTCCTCTGTAGTCTGACCCCTCCTGTGTAGAGCTTGTGACTGCCCAGGACACACAGGGCCTCACACTCCCCTCATCATCACCAGGGCAGTGAGAACCGGGGAAGAGTTTGCTCTGTGAGCTGTGGGCTCTGTGCAAGGTGTCCCTCACCCCCGGAGCTCTGGAGTAGGGTGGCGTCCCCACTCAAGGCCAATGGCTTCCATGTTCTATGTCTGCAGGAGAAGTATGTGGAGGAGCTGACAGCTGTGAGGCAGACACTGCAGACAGACCTGGAGACATCCATTCGGCGCATCGCAGACCTGCAGGTGGCCTTGGAAGAGGTGGCGTCGAGTGACAGTGACGCAGAAAGGTAATGGGTGATGGCCGGGTCGGAGGTGGGACCATGCACGGCAGAGCTCTGTAGGCCCTAGAGGTCTCTGGCTGCATTTGCTGGAGGACCCAAAAATGCCCGAAGGTTGCTGGTTTGTTTGCACTGAGAGAAGAGGGATGCTTTCCCTGTCACCTATGAAGCATGGAGCCTGGCTTGCTGGACATGAGGCAGTTGGAAAGAGATGGGTCCTAGGGAAGTAGCTTGTCTGGTCAGGGCCTGTGATCATTCCTCTCATGTTGCTGTAGCAAAACAACTCATAACAAAAGCCACTCAAGGTCGGGCTTGTTCAGGCTTATGTTTTAGGACTGTCATCCATTATGGCAGGGAGTTGTGGTGGCCTGTCCCCAGGCTGCTCCTGTCACTCCAAAGGGTTTGTCCAGCCAGCACTGCTACCAATTCCTGCATTGTTTCTGCCCTGTGCAGCCTCTATGGCGTAGCTTGTTGGGTAGGCTTGGAGCGAGCAGCCTCAAGATGTGTTTTCCTCCTGATGACCCTGCTGTTCCTGTCCCCACCTGAGTGGCTGTGCTGGGAACCTGCCAGCCCCAATTGGTTAGCTCTTCCTCGCTGGGGAGACAGCTCTTGGTGGAGTCAGGGCAATCAGATATCAGACCTGGGAAGAAAGCCTGTCTGTTTCCACAAGAACCCTGACTTCAGGGACATTTCAAGTCACGCAGCAGGTTGGCTTTGGGTAGAGTCAGAACTCAATTCAGAAAGTTTTATAAAAACATTTTTATTTAAAAAAAAATGTTTGTTTTGGAGATATGATCTTACTAGGCAGCTCTGGCTGGCCTAGAACTTGCCATGTGGACCAGACTGGCTTGACTTCACAGAGATTCCTCTGCTTAGCAGCCTGTGACCTTGACCTCTCCTGTGTAGATCTTTATATCTCACTGTACCAAGTAATGTCCAATCATTGCAAGGCAGAGATGCTGGGCAGGGGAGGCACCTACCCTCCCCTGCTGCAGAGCTTCATTTGAAAACTACCTTACCGGCATGCAGTGTGCCTTTCACACACATGCCTGGCATCTCTGTGCTCCCTGCTAAGCAGTGGCCAGACAGCAGTGAGACCAGGCCCTGGTGTGGCAGCCACTCTCACTACAGTAGTGTCCCCTCCTGCTCTAGCTCCTCAGGACCAAGTTTGCATCTATAAATTCTCCTTTTGTTTCTGATGAGTTCCGGGCATGGGCACTGGCTTTTCCAGAACATTTATGATCATGGCGGTGACGTGGAATGGCTGGAGACACTGGGATCTTTGGCCCAGGAGCCAAATTCTGGAGCCATATTCACTTTCAGTATGAGAGGTCAATTGTCTAATAAACAATAAAAAGGTAAAGGGGAGGGAGCCTGGAGAGAGCCAGAGCAGCCATGCTTGGAGGTGGGACAGGCTGTGACAGGAAGCAGAGGCCTGACTCCTCAGCTGGGTAATGAACCAGGATGAGGTCACACAGTACCCCAGACATCACTCTAGTCTCTGTCCCTAAAGGTCTGCTACCCCCAGATGGTGCTCGTCTGGATGAGACAGCTGTCTGTCTCCCTGGCAACAAGACTCAGCCTCATCCTTTGCCTGGGCCCATCTTTTCCGAGCTTCAGGCCCAGGTCACCTGATTGCAGCTCTGGCATTTGGCTCATTTTACCCCAATTTCTGCATCCGAGGGTGCACACATTCTTCCTGCTGAGTTTCCAGCGAAAGTCTTTTGTCTTGTCTGTGTCTCCAGTTTCCACATGCCATCAGCCTCACCATTCCTCAAGTTGGGGGAAAACTAGCTTGCATCTCAGGGAAGCTGTGAGGTGTGATGTCAGCACTGAATGTGATGTACCCGGCACCCAGGACATGCCATACTGCAGCCAGTGGGGAGGGCAAGGCATTGACTCTGCAGTTCTATGTGTGTGGGGGGGGGTTTTCCATAAATATCACAGGGCTTTAAACAAATATTCAATCGCTCTGATCCTTGGTCTCTTCATTCTTAAGATGGATCAGTAAGTGGTGAAAAAATGAAACTCCTCACACAGAAGCAGGTTCCATGTACAGGCTCAGCTGTTACTGGTTGCCTTTATCCATCCATCCATCCATCCATCCATCCATCCATCCATCCATCCAACCGATAAGCCTTCCCTGAACACCTGTTCCACGCCAGACACCCTGCTGCATTTTCCTTCTTGCTTTTCAATGCCATTTTTCTTCCGTCTTATGGTAGACAAAGGCTGGAAAGCTTGCCTGAGGCACTTCAGAGCAGTGCCAGGGGCCTGGGTATGTTGAATGACTAAGGAATGGAGAACTATCTTCACACAGCCCGCATTCTGTGGCATGTACACAAAACAAAACAAAAAATGGACAAACAAATGGAAGAATGTGCCTCACTGTGTAGAAAGTGGGTGACCAGTGGGGTAGGTAGCCCCAGCTTACAGAACAACGAGTAGAGAATTGAGGAAGAGGAAACAAGGACCAAGAGGAATGTTCTGGAAAGTAAGAGAAGAGCCTTGAATTAGCCTCCTAAGGGAGCGGAGGTGTTGGTTCAGTTAGAGGTGTGGCCCCTGTGGAGGGCAGCCTGTCAGCTGGGAAGGCACAGGGTGTACATGCAGGCAGGTGTGTGCACATTTGGGCCAGAAGCTGATATCGTTTTCGAGGGCCTCCCACAGCTCTGCCACTCTGCCGGCTAGGGCACTGTCTCCACATTTCCGCAGTCCCTAGAGTGATGCCACCGTCTGGGAACTGTGTTGGATCATGCTGTAGGACCGTGTCACACTAAGGTCCTGGAGGAGGAGTTCCAGGCTCTGCTCTTCACCTTTTCCTGTTCTCCATCTTGCTCCTTCCCTCTCCTGTCTGTCTTCTCCATAGTGCTTTGTTGAAACCCAGAGATCCTCAGTTCCCTGGATATTGGGAACTAAAGACATAAATGACGCCTTCAGAAAAGTCCTGGCTCATTCCAAGGGGCCAAGAGCGCACCTCTCTCTCTGTTCATCACTGTCTTGATTAGAATCTCCTGATAAATACCATGACCAGAATCAACTCGGTGAGGAGAGGGTTTATTTCAGCTCACAGCTCTACATCACAGTTCATCATAACAGAATAAGTCAAGGCCGGAACTCAAGGCGGGGGACATGGAGGAGGGGCCTGAAGCAGACATTGTGGAGGATTACCACTGACTAGTTTACTTCTCGGGGCTTGTCAGTCTGCTTCCTACACCATCCAGGACCACCTGCCCAGGGATGTCACTGCCCACAACTGGGCTGACCTTCTCACGTCGATAATTAATCAAGAAAATGTACCAGAGACCCTCCTACAGGCCACTCGGATGAAAGTATTAAAAAAAAAAATGAGGTTTTTCTTCCAAGATGACTCTAATTTGTGTAAGTTGACAGAAAACAGCCAGGACAACCACGAAGGGACATTACTGAATGTCAAAGACACAAAGAAGTATGTGTTGCACCATGCTAGGTCTGCTGTACAGAGCCTCAGAACGAGGCTCCCCACTATTGCCCTAGTCCCCACATCAGCAGCCCCAAGCTGCACACTGTGCCTCCTTCTCTTATGCACTTGAACAAGAGGTTTGGATTGGAGCCAGAGAGATTGGCCCAAGAGACAGAGAAAGCCAAACTCTCCAACTGCCAGTTTGCAAGACTCCTTCACATTATGTAAAATCACAGTTCCACAACCCTCCTGGAGTTAGATCCATGTTTTTAAAAGATTTAATTATTATGTATACAGTGTTCTGCCTGCATGTACACCTGTACACCAGAAGAGGGCACCAGATCTCATTCTAGGTGGTTGTGAGCCAGTGTGTGGTTGCTGGGACTTGAGCTCAGGTCCTTTGGGAGAGCAGCCAGTGCTCTTAACCTCTTAGCCATCTCTCCAGCCCCTGGAATTACATCTTAATGGAGTAGGCCTTGCAGGCTGGAAGCTGAGCTACATGCTCAGAAAGGCAGGCAACACGAAGAGGTGCTGAAGTGTGTGCGACTGTGCAGCAGGGCCTGGCATTGTCAGTTAGACTGTAGCATCAGCCTCCTTAGATTAATGAAGGAACTGTTTCAGCTCATCTCCCAGGCCTGGCTCATGCTCAGTAGTCGTGGAAAGAGGACTGCACTGGCTCACAGAAAACCCCGTCTACTACTGCCCCAGAATCTGCAGCTGCTCTGCCTTTTTCCTTGCAAGTATGATGTATGTGGGGGGGAGGGTGTACAGCTCACCCTTGACTTCAGAGTCACCGATGAAAGTGTGCCAGTCCCAGCTGGGCCTATGTGAGATGAGCGTGCTGGGAGCGAGCATGTCCCCAGCGATGGGGTGAGTGGATGCTAGGTGCTCTCCTACTCAGAGGCCCTAACCACTGGCTGTGGGGGAGACTTGGAGATATCCGGATAGAAGTGGACATTGATCTTCTGAAGACATATTGTGAGTTAACAACTCACTGTTGAGCCCTGGCTCTGGCCAGGATGTGATGTTCCCACTGCACGAGAGGACAGCACTGTCCCCTCAGCCCTTTTCTTGTAGCTGACCCCCATGAGAGATGAACATACTCTGATCTGGAAGAACAGCTTGAGTGAGCTCTCTATTCATCTAGGAGAGTTGGCCCCCAGTGAGAGTCACAGCATGGGCCCCCGTGCCCTCTGGCATGTGCTTAAATGACGGCAGGTTGGCTGGCTTTCTGAGCATGATTGTAACCAACACGCAGCTGATGAGATAGATTCACAGTCAGAGCTCCCACAATTCACTGTGTCTATTCCAACAGTGCAGGAACTGCTGGTGATAGTGCCCCGTGGTACCCTTTCTGGAGGACAGTTGTTTCTGCTTGGCACTCACTGGTCTTGCGTAGTCTCTGGGCGCCTATTATTATCTTTCCCAAATTAACGATAAGGAAACTGAGTCTCACAGGTATCCAGAGTCATTCACTGGTGCAGGTGTTAAGAGATGAAGCTGTGGCTTGGTTTCGAAGCTAGGCCTCATTACTCTCACCGCCAACGCCAGCCAAAGGTGGTGTTGTTATCATGTAGGGCAGGCCACGTGGCCCTCATCTCCTCTGTTCCCTTCTGGGCTTCCATGATGGTGAGCTCATGTCAGTCACTAGCATGGAGCAAATGAATCCAGGCGTTTCCTAGGCTGTATTTGCATTTAGACTGTGACTGTCTGGTAAAGGCTTCCTGAAGGAATACATTTGAAGACACTTAATCAATTACCTTGATCCTCGCCAACAACTGTTTAAGAATTCCTGGCATAGGTTCCTTTTGCAAAACCACACTGACCAAGGTGACAGAAAGAACGCTAGACACCAGCCAAGGGCTGGAGTTTGAGCTTCGGCCATGCAGCCAGCCAGGTCGGGACCACGGACAGCGCTTCTGGCCCCCAGCCCCTGTGTGCCCTTCCTCCACAGAGGGCAGCTAACCTGTTAATCACAAGTTAACAAACCTGAATGTGGCCTGCTTCAAGCACAGGCTTTGGCAAGGGTAGAAGGTAGAGGATGTAGCAATGTCGGCCACTCCTGTTTCCTGTGAGATGGACTCAGATATGTTACTTCCCCCGCCACGCCCAGTGCTGGGTTAAGCGGTACAGTCACGATACATGGAAAATCTAGGTCTCCGTGCCCACCTGCAAACCATCATGGGTTTGGACCATCAGAAAAGTCTGCGTGGAGCATGAAGGCTAACTCCATATGGAGGTGCTGTTTATGAGGCTGCACGTGCCTGTGTGGAGGAGAAGCCACAGCAGGCGAAGCATCCAGAGATGGTCAGGAGCCCGGACCAATAACTACTACTAGTTTGAAGGGACAAGAGAAGGAATTCTGGAAGAGGGCATGGCCACATAGAGGAGGCTGTGGCCAGTCAACCAGCCCGTGGTCTGTAGCAGAGAAAAAAAAAATCAGGGGAAAAACTGCCAAGGCCTCCCTGCCTTACCTTCCTCACCCCTACTGTCAGCCAATGCCTCAGCTCCTCAGCCCATTGGGAAGCCATGGAGGCGGACAGCACACGGGCAGGACTCACGTACTCAGTGTGGTTTGCTCCTGCAGAGCTGGTCCAAAAGCATCACACAACCAGTGTGGACCAGTAGAGACAGTAGTGAAACGTGACAGATGAAAGAGGCCAAGTTTCTGCAAGAAAGAGTCCCTCCAGGAGGAAGTGGTTTTGAATACTGAGTTCCCAGAGAAGCTCTCAGAGATCAAGACGGGATGAGCGTCAGTGCCCACGTGGGCCCTGTTGATGGGCTGGACAGACCGTCCAACACTGTCCCAGTAATGAATGGTGTCCAGTGGGTCCAAGCTCGGAGCTTGGAGTCCAAACTGACAAAATGAGAGTGCCAGCTTCCTGCTCACACTGAGAGGGAGATGAAGTCCCAGCATCTTGGCGTTAGACATTTGGTCGTGGGCTCCAGGGACCCTATTGCCCTGTCTCGGTGCAGTCAAGCAGAAAACATGCTTCTGTGCCAGTGCAGGGTCAGGAAGTGAAGGCTTACAGCAGCCGTGCTCTGTGGTTGCACAGAGGTGGTGATGAGCAAAAACTTTATGTGAAAGTAGGAAGGGGAGGGGGCACCATGCAACACCCTGTGCTTGTGGTGGGCACATCATCCTCACTGCCCAAATCCCAGCGGACCTTGTGGCTGAGGCCCTGACTGAGGCAACGTAGTTGCAAGGCCTTGTGGTCTTGTGGGCTCCCCATTTGGGGGCCGTGGCACATTGACTATGGCCGGCCGTGCCTGTGATCTCCACAAAGCTGTGGTTGGAGGTTCGGTGAGTGTGCTGTCTTCATCTCTAAAGTGGAAGCAGGTGGAGTGGACAGGCGTGTGTGGAGACTGTTTCTCCCTGAACAATAGCTACCCGTGCAATTAGATTGTGAGTTTCCCACAATGCCCGGGAAACTATTCTGCATGTGTCTGATTTGTTGGCCTCCCAAAAATATGAGGCAAAGGCCAGGCGTGTTGTCAATAACAATGTGATTAAAGCCAGAGAAGCCAGTTGCATTTCAAATAAAAGGTTTTTGTTTTGTTTTGTTTTGTCTGAGTGTTTTGCCTGCATATATGTGTGTTGACTACAGGGGTGCCTGGTGCGCTTAGAGGACAGAAGAGGGCATTGGATGCCCTGGTATCACAAATGTTTGTTAACCACCATGTTTGTACTGGAAGTTGAACCCGGGTCCTCTAGAAGAGCATCCAGTGCTCTGAACCAGAACCCTACCCCTGTCGTGTTCTTAAAGAACGTTGGTAATGGTTATTCCTGTTCCCCAGGAACTGTGCTGAAAAGCACACAAGGGCTGCCTCATTCTGCTCCTCAGGCTTGGAGGTAGAGGTGCATGTATTATTAATTAGCAGTTTGCAGAGGCAGAGGGAGACTTAAAGAGGACAGATCAGAATCCCACAGCCTCACAGTAGCAAAGGGTGGAAACAGGACACAAACCAGCTATGTATAGTGTTGGAAACCAGCCATAAGCAGCTATGATACATCTTGTCTTGTGTCTTCTTCTAGTGTCCAGACAGCAGTGGACTGTGGTGGCGGCAGCAGGAAAGAGGAGTAAGTAAAGCCATGTAGGCAAGCCCCTGGCTGTGTGTGTGCAGTGTTCAAGAAGGTTTACACCCACCCAGAGAAGCCTCCCATGACGCCTGTGAGGCTCTGGCATCATGCTTTATCACGCGCCTCACCGGAGTGCACACTGCATGCCTGCTTGACTTCATTTAGACAGAGCGACGGCATGTGTTATCATGCCACGATCCCCTCCACCTTCATGGCTCCCTGTTGCCCCAGGACAGAGTTTTTAGATAGACACGTGTGCTCTGTGTTAACCCTTGGTTCCCTCTTCGCCTTGGCTTGTGCTGTCCTACTGCCTGATCCTGACCACTCCTGACCTCTGCACTTGCCTGTGCATTATTCCCACCGAGCCCTCACCTTCCGGAGGTTCACCTGCCACACAGACTTTCCTCTTCCTCCAGGAAGGAAGCGGAGGCTCCTTACTTAGCCTGCAGGCTGGCACTATGCCCCTCTCTGTAGTAGTGCCAGTGGGGCTTCACTTCATGGCTGCTCACAGATACGCTCACCAGCTCTGCCGGGATGCGAGCCTGAGGACAGAATTAATGTTAAGTTCGTGTATGCAGCCCCTGTCCCATGGTGACGGACTTAGTGGCACATAAGCATACTACACACTTCTGTATGCATGGGCCACACCCACACACTCACACACATATGTACATGCATACATACACATACATGCACACATGCACACACAGATACTCACATACACACTCCCAGACACATGCACATACATATATATACAGACTCACACACACATGCACATGCAGATGAACACAGATACTCATACACACACATACACACACACACACTCATGCAACGCACACACAGATACTCATATATACACACTCTCACACACAAATGCACACACATGTACACACACACACACACACACACACACACACACTTTGAGGCTGTGTAGCCCTCCTCTGGTGCTACTTTAACAGTCAAAGAACATAAGGAGAAAGCCCAGCTTGCCAAGGTGATCCCCGTAAGACAAGGGAGGACTGAAGTCCTTCATTCCTTATAGACCCCATGAACATATTATTTGATGCAAAATGCAATAGCAAGCTTGACCCTCAAGTCAGAGAGGTCTCAACACCCCAGTTGTTCCTGCTGCTGCTGGTGGTATGTGTGTGTGCGTATGCCCATGCCCAAGAGTGCTGTGGTTAATAACAAGGGTATTAGAGAGCTTTCTGTCCAGACTTCATCAGTTATGAGGCAGGTGGCTTTGGCTAAGACCCAAGTTGGCCCCTCCAGATGCCAAAGCTTCCACCCGTTTCCCAGGCCAGCACCAGTTTCCCGTCTGTGGCAGAGCAAGACTCACCGTGTGTGCTGACCGTCTGGTTATGGCCCTTGCTCTGGTTGCCACTGTGATCAGCGTCCTAACTTTGGCTTCTAGGGACAACGCCTCTGTCATCAGCTCCCAGCCAGAGGGCAGTCTGCAGTCCTGGAGGAGCTGTTCCCTCTCCCTGGCCACAGACCCCTCTGAGAGGAGCCTCTTTCGACAGTCAGGACAGTCAGCCATCAGCAGCGCTCTCCACAGCCCCAGGTAAGAGCCTGGCCTTTGGTCTGGCCTCTGGATAGCTCAAAGACCCACCCCTGCGGGCTGGCTCATGACTTCCATGTCTTATACTCGGCGTGGGGCGCTTCCCAGCTGTGCGGCTTTCCGAAGGTTACCTGACCTCTCAGGGTCTGAGAAGGGTGGAGTCTGAGGCGGTCTGCTCGTGGGGATGATGGTGAGGATGCAGCTGGAACGCAGACCTCCATGAAGCAGGGCTCATCGGCCGTTTTGAATAGTACAGTGAGAACGAGGGATGACTGATCTTCATCACTGCCCTTGTCACGCTCTCGATTCTCTGGTTTATAAGTAGGCATGGCCGGTTATGGTTCTGCTTCACTTTGGGTTGATGTACTTGAGTGGAGTCACAAAGAAAGCTGAGCTAAAGGCAGGCCCAGTGGGGCAATTCCTGTTAGCTCAGCCACTCTGGAGGTTGAGGCAGGAGGATCTCTCGAGCTGAGAAACTTGAAGAAGCGACAGCCTCATACTACAGCAAGCTGCTGATATTTGTAAGAGGAAAAAGGGGAAATATATTGAGCTGTGTTTCTCATGGAGAAATTTTATTTTATTTTTTCTGGAATATAAGGAAGGTTTTATAATCTTGGGGGTGGAGAGATGGCTCTGCCGATAAGAGCACGAACAGCACTTGCAGAGAACCTGAGTTCAGTCCCCAGCAACCACACTGGGCAGATCACAACCACATCAGCTCCAGGGAGTAAAACATCTTTTTCTGGACTCCTAGAGCACCTGCACTCAAGTGTCCATACTCGCATTTAGACACACACAAGCCTACACACAACTGAGGACAAAAGTAAATATTTTTAATTTTTTTCTGATTAGAATATGATTACATTGTTTCCCCTTTCCTTTCCTCCCTCCAAACCCTCTTCTCTACCCCTCTTTGCTGTCTTTAAGATGCTTAGCCTCCTTTCCATTAATTTTATATTTGTGTGTATTTGTGTGTGCGTGCGTGCGCACACACATACATCTATTCCTAAATACATAAGTGCAGCCTGCTCAGTCTGTGTGATCTTAGCTATACATGTATGTTTTCAGGGTTGACCATTTGGTGTTGGACACCCAGTCGACGTTCTCTTCCCGAAAGGGGAAGACTGTTTCTGAGGCTCTCAGCAGTCCTTATTGGACCGCAGCAGCTCTTTGTGTAGGGTTGAGGCCTTCTGGCCACGCCCACCCTCCCCCTCCCCCACCATCCGAGTTAGTATGTCTGTTGCTGTCATCCTTGTTCAGGTCATGTTTGGGAAGTCATGTTAGTAGGACTTTCCGGGCGTGGCTTCTGACATTGCTAGGAAACACAGTCTCAGCAAACTCCCCTGATTCTCTGCTCTTCCAATCTTTCTGCCCCTTCCTCCTCAATGGTTTCCAGGCCTTACCCTCAGGAGCTGTATTATGGATGCCCTGCGACTGGGCTACACAACTCTGCATTTTCTGTAGCGGTCTCTCTCCATCTGTCGCAAAGAGACGTTTCCTTGGTGAAGGGTGGGAATTACACTTATCTGTGCACGTAAGGACAAATATTTACAGTGTAGTTAGGGCACATGCTGGTTTAGTAAAATGGCGGTTGTAGGCTCCCCTCAAAGATCTGTCACTTCACTGGCCCCGGGTAGTTGGCTAGGTTTCTAGTACCAGGCAGGATTTCCCTCTTGTTCAGCAAGCCTTAAGGGCAAGTAGAGAGCTGTTGGTTACTGCCAAGGCATGCCTGCCACTATTGCTCCCTTAGTGTCATCAGGCCGGGCTCATGGTTGTCATGTTCCATTGGCGTCACACCTGGGTAGGACTGTCGGTTGCTTCCCTCCTCTGGAAGCTTGCTCAACACCTTCTGTATCGTGAAAGCTAGTCCCCAGGGAGGAGGCTTTCCGGTTCAGGTGCCTCTGCGCCCTGTGTCTGGAGTGCATGGTGTCTTCAGCAATAAGGATTTACCTCCCATCTCTGGGAGGTGGCCAGGAGCAGCGGCAATAGCCTATAATGCTTTGGGAGTCTCTTGACCGAAAACTCAACAGGGGGCTTCTCATGCTGGGTGTTGGGGTTTGTATTAGACAGCCTTTGGCTCTCGAAGAAAGCGCTGTTAGCCCAGATGAGAGCATTTCATTTAAGCTGTGCGTGTTTCTTTAGTCACTTACTTATGTGCGTTATAGGCGTTTTAGATAGCTAGCTCATAGTGTGATCGCTAATGACTTTTCAGACATCCTTACTGTTGTTTTTAATCCTGCCCCCTCCTCTTTTTGTGTGTATCTCCCTCTATCCCCCTAGTTAGAGTCCCCTCTTTTCTCATTTCCTCTATCAGATCACTTGTACTCTGCTCCCACTCCCCACCCCTGTAATAGTCCCTTTTTGTTTTCCTGGCTTCTGCAGTTACTCTGGGATCTTTATACACATCTGCAGGCCTGGAATTGGGAGCATCTGGTGAAATAGGACATGTGACATTTGTCTTTCTTGGTCTCCTCCCTTAATATGATCTCTTCTAGTTCTATCCATTTACCTGAAAAGTTCATGATTTCATTTTTCTTTACATCCCACAAAGTATATATGTACCACGTTTTTGTTACACATTGTTGGTTGAAGGAGATTTATGTTGTTCCCATTTTTTATCTATTGTGAACAGAACAGAAAAAAAAAAAAGAGAGAGATGGCTATGACTGAGCAAAGATCTGTGGTGTAGGATATGAAGTCCTTTGGACATATGCCAAGGAGTGGTATTGCTGGGTCAGCTCCATTTCTCTGTGTTCACATATTTTTCCTTGCAAGGGTGACCCTGGTGTAATCAGGACCTAATGTCCGGGAATCAGAAACAATGGTTCCAGCAGATACGTAATTAATAGGAACCACTGTCTGCTGCTGTGGTGAAAGGGGGACCAGAGTGACAGATAGGAAGGCCAGTGCAGTGTGGGACAATCCCAGATAAGCCCAGTCTGCATGTGCTCGAATGCAGGGGCATCTCATCAGGGAGACGACAGGGTGGAGCCTTGCTGGCCCCTGGGACATGCTCAGCCAGTGTCTGAAGAGCATCTCAGGTCCAAAGATCTGATCTGAGAAATATCAAACCCTGAGTTGAGGCTCTAAGAGCGGCGGCATGTGGGGTGCTATGGTGACAACCGTCAGTGCAGAGAATGAATCTGGCCCACTGTGTGGATGAGGACATCTCTTCTCTGCCGTTGAGTCTGTGCTGGAAAAGTCAGACAGCGGGCACCCATTCCTACAATGTCTGATTTGTGTAATTAAACTATGTCGGGGCATGTGATGGCCCATCACCTACCACTCACACACCCGGGTGTCTGATGCCTGTTTGCATAGGAGAGAGTGAGTGTGGGTATCAATGCAAGGTCTGTAGTCAGTGGCCACGATTCCAGTCCTGTATTGTGTCTAGCTGTGTGAGCTGGGAAAATTTCTCAGCTTCTCTGCTCTCATGCCCTCACATGGAACTCAGGACCATTGTCAGGTGTCGTGAGATGAAGGCTGCATGAGCTGGCTTCCTCAAGGTCAGCACCTAGGCAGAGCCATCTGCCCGGTGCGCTGAGAAATTCTGGGAGGTGGGTGGCTCACTGGTTACAGAAGCTGATCTGAGGGCCAGAGAGGGTAGGCAGGCCTGACCCTCACTTAGGCAGGGCATCCCCAGAGGCTCCCCCTAAGGACCCTGAAGCAGCTTCTGGATGAATTTATCTTAGGCCTCAGCTCATTTCCCCATTTACAGTCCAGGATCTCAGAGCACGTGGCTGCACAGTTGAAATGAGTCCTTCCCATCTTAATTAAGATAATCTCCCACTGCCATGCCCAGAGACCCTTATCCCAGATAATTCTAGATCCTGTCAAGTTGAGCTTGATTAACTACCACACCCCATTTTAAAGATTGATGAACAACGAATATGCTAATCACCCAGTGAATATGCTAACAACCTGGTGAATATGTTAATTACCTGGTGAATTTGCTAATCACCCAGTGAATATGCTAACAACCTGGTGAATATGTTAATTACCTGGTGAATTTGCTAATCACTCAGCAAATATGCTAGCAATCTGGTGAACATGCAAATTACCTGGTGAATATGTAATCGAGGTGGATACTTTTCTGCCCAGTGTAATTGCACAGAATCTTAAGCTCCCCTTTCTTCCCTACAAGGGACTGGAATTCAAACTTATGTGTGGTTTTAGACACATATTTGTGGTTGGATTTAAAGTGTCTAAGCTGAAAGTTTTAAAAAGAAATCTCCATTAGAAGATAATTGAATAACAGAATAAATATCATTATTATGATAATGAGGGCAGTATTAGATTTTGTGTGAAAAAAATTGGAAGAGGGAAAAAGTAACACTGAATCAGTACAAGAAAAAGGAGTTAACTTCTCCATCACTGTGAATGAGACAAAATAAACCATCCTGGGGTCATTTTGTGCCTGGTGTGTGTGACCATTCTTTCTAAGTCACTCAATATTTAAAAATATAAGAATCTTGAGACCGAAGACCACGCCCTTGCCCACTCCTTAACCTTTGCTCTCCTTTGCTCTCTAGCAAAGGAGTCAGCCCTCTTCTCTGAGTATTTATGAACATCTTTAGCACTCACTGCAGGTGTCAAGTGTGTGATTGTGCACTTTGTAAATTCTCACAGTGTCTTTCCATCCACAGTGCATCTTGGGGTCTTTCCTTACAGAGCCCTGGACTCTATCTTGGTCTCTTAAATGCCCATGGAAGGGGCTTAAGTTCTAAGTTGCTTGGATTTAGCCGTGATGATCATATTTCACTTTTTGGTGCTTTTTTGACATTTGCCGAGAACTTGTCAGGCTCCAACAAATCCGTGTCCTTATGCGTTGATTCCTCAGGTCAAAGGGCACTTGCGTTTTAAACTTGAATAGCTGTCTATCCCAAAATCAGCTCCGTGTCCTATACTAGATTGGGGGGGGGGTCATGTCCACCTAGCACCATCTTGCCTGGTGCTTGGCAGTCTCCATCAATGAGCTTCTTGAACACTTCCAGTTTGGCTGG